AATCATTGCTGTTGAGTATAATTTTGACACAAAAATACAAATGTTGCACGAGTATTAAATATAAGATTTTAATTCTATGGAAATTTGGATATCATCAATGTTTGCATTTATAATTATAATTTATAAATGCAAACACCGACTTGAAAACACAAAAATATATAATGAAGCAACTTTGGAAATCTCTGCAAAAGAATACTTATTAAAGAATGTAAATTCTACGGTTACTTTAAGTGGCATTTTCACATATATTAATAATATCTTTATTGTCATATATAAGAGTTCTGCCCATTAGTTCTAAAGACTGTTTTATAAAGGAGCCAATATTTTTTAACATGTTCCATGATAGAAGGGTTTAGCATTTCTTTTACTTTTTGTTCTTGGGTAAGAGACATAAAATCATGAGAAGGTGAAATAATTTCAAAAAGATTATCTCTTAGTTTTTTTGTTAATTTTACATTCAAGGACGAAATTAAAAGTGTTTACGCTTGAATCGTTCTTTAGAACAACGTCAAATCCTCGTTTTATTGAGAACGTCGTGTAACGCTCAGTGGTACCAATACCGTGCGTAACGTCTTAGTCAACCAACTGACAAAATAGTTATCTCCAGTTCTGATACAGATGTTCTGGTGCTTCTTATACACCACAGACAATCAAAAGCAGGTGAAAATGTGTACTTTGTGACGGGTAGAGTAGATAAGCATGCTAGTTTAGTACGATACATTTCAGTTGAGGATATAATTAAGGAACTAACACCTTCACAAAAACGTATTCTTTAATTGTATTATTAGCCATCACTGTCTATGTTTAGCTCACTTGGCCTTTAAAGCCATGTGAGCTTTTGTCCTCCCTCGGCGTCCATCATCTTCTGTCCGTCATCCGTCGTCTGTTGTCGCCGTAATATTTTGTAAATGTTCTATGAAACTACAGGGTCAAATGTTACAAAAGTAACCGTTATGTTCCTTAAGGTATTGAGTTTAAAAATTGTATCCAGGGATTTGTTCCATCAAAAAACATGGCTACTGTTACTAGAAATAGAACATAAGGGGTAAAATACAGTTTTTGGCTTATATCTAAAAAACTAAAGTAGATAGAGCAAATCTGAAAAAAAGATCATAAGGCAAGGTGTATCTTATCTGGAATTAACAGATTAATCGGACAATCGGATTATTTTGGGGTTATTACCCCTAAAATGCCATTTTTTCGCAAATTTCAAAGTTTTTGGCTTATATCTCAAAATTTTAAGCAATTACAGCAAATCGTACTTTTATAAGCAGGTCAAGGTCGATCTCTTGCGATCTCTTGCTAAAATCGTTTTACCCATCTTGTAGTTATTGCCCCTGAAATGTCAGTTTCGCAGGTTTTGGTTATTTTCTGGAAAACTAACAGATAGAGACAAATTTCAAACAGTAAAAATGACCGGAACATTAAGAATAAGTCTTTCCAAGAGTTGAAAGAGAAAATCTTTCTACAGTTAAAATGTTCAACAAAATATCTACAAATAAGAAAACAAGGACAAACATGTTGTCAATTGAACGATTCATTTAACTCAAATTTTGTAGAAACTTACAATAGATGAAGAGAAAGTTATGAATGTTCAGCAATAGAAGATCTACAAATGAGCCAAAATGACCAAAGTGTCCATTGACCGCTTGACTTTTTTGTAGAAACAAAAATAGATAGAGAGCAACAATAGTTAGCAAAAATGTCCGTCAAAATAAGATCTAAAAAAAAAAGTCAACACTTTTGCAGTAAAAGACAGAGAGAAACAGTCAAAAAGCAAAATGTTTGTCGCAATAAGATCTAAACATAGATGCATACATTGTATGTTAATATTTTAGCACCCATTATTCTCTATCTTTTTGCCGATTTTTCTCTATTTGTTTATGTCCTTGGTCCATCATTCTCTATACTGTAACACCGCAAAGGTTGACTGGATTAAAGAAATATGAAAATGGTTGATTTTCTTGTGACTGACAGTAAAACCCTTGCCAAATTGTGGCTTCCTTTTGGTATTTGGCAGTAAGGGATGTATAAATTCGCAGCCATGTCCGGTCAGGTAGGGACGTTAAATCCGATGCCTCGTGTTGAAAGAGTGTTAAGATCTCTGCACGTAAAACACACTTTTAGGGCCTGTAGGTGGCCTAATGCAATGCTAAATTCCTGTCCCTGTCCAATATACTCTCATTTTCCAGTGGCATTCCAAATTCCCCGCTTATCGTCCAAATCGCTATGCATGACTACCTATTTTATTTATTGTAAAAATGTTCTTTTCCTGAACATGAATGAAATATTTGCCAGTGGACGTTAATCAAACAACAATCAATCAATCTCTTTTCTGTAAACCACATCCTGTCCCATTTCTTGCGGTAAGAAGAGTTGACCCCATAAGTGAGTGATTAATTAATTAGTCCGCTCGTTTAAACAGGAGGCTTTCCGTTGAAAACTTAAAATAAAACTAAAATTAAATATACTGTAAAATTAGCTGGGTTGACGTACGGCTAATCTGGCCCTTACTTTTCAAGTCGGTTGGTGAAGCTGTTACTGTTTCTGAGATATTGTTTCAGTCTCTTACAGATCGATGAGGAAAAGGATTGTTATATGCTTTATTTTGTAATATGTGTATGTTGTCTAGTCTTTGGACTAAATATGTTAGAAGTTGATAACGAACGGACGACGATGAACGACAAGTGGACCTTTTTGGTCAGTTTGCTAAAAATGGAATATAACGAACAAAAAGATGAAAAGTATAGGACCAACAAGACCAGGGTTGACTGCTCCAATAGCGATAGATATCTCGTTGAATTAGATCATTGTTCGTTCATTGTTCGTTTAAATCAAGTACAAAACAAATGCAAGTTAACCAGTGTACAAGATTTTGGTCTCTATTTTTTATGCGACTTTCATACAAGTGAGAGGTTTAGCTAGCTATTAAACCAAGTTAATCCACCATTTTCTACATAAGAAAATGCCTGTACCAAGTCAGGAATATGACAGTTGTTATCCATTCGTTTGATGTGTTTGAGCTTTTGATTTTGCCATTGGACATTGGTCCACATTGAGGTCAAAAGGGTCAACAAATTAAACTTTGTTTAATTTCATCAAAAATTCTTGGGGTTCTTTGATATGCTGAATTAACCAAATGTAAACCAAGTTAATCCACCATTTTACATAAGAAAATGCCTGTACCAAGTCAGGAATATGACAGTTGTTATCCATTCGTTTGATGTGTTTGAGCTTTTGATTTTGCCATTTGATTAGGGACTTTCTGTGTAGAATTTTCCTCGGAGTTCGGTATTTTTGTTATTTTACTTTTTCACATACGTCGTTTCTGTTAACCACGACTACTAGTAATTGAAAAGTGTTCTGGCTGTTCACACATTTTCTTGAAGAGTCAAAATTAATTGCTGAATTTCTTTAATTCCTGGATTATGCTATGGTTCGTGTTACTTAACCTTAATCTTTCTTTGATAATTATTGTTTTGTAGAGTCTTTCTTATTTTTGACCAATGTGTTGTCTGTCTTTCTTTTGACCAATGTGTTGTCTGTCTTTCTTTTGACCAATGTGTTGTCAGTCTTTCTTTTGACCAATGTGTTGTCTTTCTTTCTCTTGACCAATGTATTGTCATTCTTTCTTTTGGTCAATGTGCTGTCTGTCTTTCTTTTGACCAATGTGTTGTCTGTCTTTCTTTTGACCAATGTGCTGTCTATCTTTCTTTTGACCAATGTGTTGTCAGTCTTTCTTTTGACCAATGTGTTGTCTGTCTTTCTTTTGACCTAGTGTTGTCTTTCTTTCTTTCTGTTGACCAATGTGTTGTCTGTCTTTCTTTTGATCAATGCGTTGTCTTTCTTTCTTTTTACCAATGTCTTGTCTCTCTTTCTTTTGACCAATGTGTTGTCTTTCTGCCTTTTTCTTTTGACCAATGTCTTTATTTCTTCGAATTATGGGTCTAGATTTTCTACCTTGTTATGGTATAAACGTTTTTCGTGATATAGATAAAACGAGTTTTAGAGGAATGTACGCCCCTGTGACATTTACCCAACGTCAAAAAGGGATTTCTAGAACTGATATAGTTGAACTATTACTCAGATGGTGCACTCCTAGATATCATGTATGTAATACCATGATGTCAGCCAGTTTCAGTATTTTTTCAAACGACAAATTAATGACATATGTGTTATAATTATGCCAGTGGTTGAGTCTTGGCTGGGCTAATAATATCCTCGGGAAATAACAGTCCAAGAAAAGCGGTACCGACACAGTACTAGAAAATAAAGATAAAACACTATATTTCTTTAGTGCGCCCGAAGCGCTTTTCTGGATTTACCTTCACCAGGTACTCTCAATACCAAAAAAGGATGTGTCAAGATTTGATGAGCTATATGACCTAAAGGGACATCAAAAGAATAGCCAACACCATCGAAGGTCAACTTTGCTTAAGCGAGGTGGAACCTTAGTAGGTAAATCATTCGATATGTTCACATTTTAAATCATATTTAGATTAAAATAATTCTCGGCTAAAACTAGAGCCAAAAATATGACTTAACGTCAAAAGTAGTAACTTTATAAAGATAAACGATTTTGTTGGTTTGACTGAAGGGCTTCAACGACAAGTTCTTCATACAATTGTACATTTTCAATTTATAGCCATCGTACAGCATTACATATTTTGAATTTATGGATCGAACTTAACCAACGCCTCTTTTACTGACGACATGTTAGTAATTTTAGTAGTTATTTTCTGAAAAGCTTCTTCTGTATAGAAATAAGGAGATGTGGTCTGATTGCCAATGAGACAACAGAGTTCAAATGAAGTGGATGTAAGCAATAACAGACACCCGTACGGCCTTCAATAATGAGTAAAACCCATACCGTATAGTCGGATATTAAAAGCCCCGACTTGGGAAATGTGAATCAATCCAAAAGAGAAAACCAACGGCCTAATTTATAACAAAACAATTTACGAAAACAAATATGACAGACATGAACCAACGACAACCACTGAACTTCTATTCTTTTTTTAATATGACTACTGTACATATACATTATTCCTATAAAAATAAAAATGTTTATAGTAGAAACCTAAAATGTTATGTTCCTACAGAGCATAAAGAAGCACAGAAAGTTAATCTTCATCACCAGAGACACCATGAACTGTGATTTCAATATCAGGACTCTGTGTATTTAAACGTGAGAGACATTTTCTGTAGAAATTTGCTCTTGTTCCAAGCCTTGTGTCACCACCAACAAAATCTTTCATTATACCATCTCCTACTCCACCATCTACAGACATGTGATCAACATACGAGTATCCGTTTTGGACCCAAGTCGACAAAAATGTGAAGAGGGCATTTTGGTTACGATCTTTTGTTGTTTTATATTTGCGGATTTTAACGATAGTTTCTGTTGGCGACGCTACCACTTTGAGTACCAGGGAAGACTCGTCATGATATCTAATCGTCATCATTAACTTGCTTGGTACTAAATCAATTGATTTTATGGATACAAATGGACGCTGTACGTTGGGACTAGTTGGGCCAATTACAAGTGAAGAACCAAACGGTGTCCAGTCCATGCCGTGTGGGGTTACTGGCTGTACGCGACTATGACCATCATCGTGGATGACAAAAATTTGAGAATAACCATCATCATAAGGTTTTTTCATGTACAATCGGAGATTAGCTACGTCATCGAAAACTTTACCGGAAACCCCACCTTCTACCATATTGACTTTCATTGCTGTTTGCTTTAACCACCACGGATCTCTGTGTAAACCTTCGAACAAAAATATTCCGTCATTATATATGATAAATGGACGAACTTGCATGTCTCGTTTTTCTAATCTTATTTCCTTAACATATACTCCGTTGAAAGTATTGTCAACAGTATTAATTTCTATGATTATTTTATTACCATTATTATCGCCCCAGAAGTTATCTGGAATTTCCCAAACGTTTGAAGGGAATTCTTGGTCAAATGTGAATTCAGTGCCTTGTTCTAATCGTCCTGTTCTTCCCAAGTATGACACTTTGGCGAATGCTGCCTCTGTAGTGTCTAATTTTCCAAGCATAACAAACAACTTTCCGGCAGTTTGTCTTTCCCCCTGTCCACGGGTAATGGAAAATCCAGACATGTCAAATGTTACTGCAACTCGTGCACTTGTTTCAGAATTATCAACAGTCAGGGACGCACGATGTGTTTTATGTACTATTGGTGGACCGGAACTAAGTTGCACGTCATTAAATTTCCATGCAGGACTTGCAAGTTTACAGTCCCTAAAATCGGCCTCTCTGCTATTTGAACACGTTGCATATTTTGGTCTTGTTGCCTTTATTTGGAAATTGGATGCTGTGTCATGGTAGAAAGCTACTTTTACATTCTCTTCCTCTGCACAAACAGTTGCTTTATTAAATTTCTTTATTTTAAACCCATCAATATCGGCAGCAGCACGGGGAGTTTCAAAGTTGATGTCATCAAAACAATACACATCGCATGTAAGATTTCTATTTGTAATGATAGCGTTTCCAACTTCGAACTGGATATTGTCCAACTCAACACCAAAGTCATCTGCTTGTGTTACCCGGATTGTAAGCATATGACGCCCATAGTCCAAACGAAAAGATTCGCCAATTACTCCACTAGGGCGGAAATTATTCCATTCCGAAAGTCTTAATAACTCTGGTTGGTTTGTTTTAAAGGAACCAACAAGTTTTTCATCCATGTAAACGCTAATTTCGTCACCTTTATTGTCGGCGTCGTTGGAAAAGAAAATATTAGATATAGTCATTTCAAGCGGAGAATGAACGCACATTTCATACCGGATTATATTATCGTATAAAAGGTGGACGACTTTACCATCGGAAGCATTTTGTCTTGTCACGATAGATCGACCAACACCCTGGAAGTCTTCTAATTCTAGTTCAAGCAATCTGGCACGGCATGATGATAAAAAAAGTAGTAAAACCAATAGATCTCGCATATTGTACCTTTTAATTCTTTTTTTTCCTGAAAAACAAAAATGTATAATATGTAACTTTGTAGCAAAATATGCAGATCATGTGTACTGATTGATAACTTAGTCTGGGAGAACATGTTTTTTTTGGCATTGCACAAGGTCATGTTTTTCTCTGACTGTTAATGACGTATTTACATTAAATCCATTGGATGTTGGATGTGTACTGGTTGATAATTTAGTTTTAGATGCATGATTTTTTTATTAGTTATCATTGGATTTGCACTACTAGTAGCTCTCAGTAACTGCGAGTACTCTCAGATTTTTACTTAGTGTCTTTTTTGTTGTGGGATGTATAGATACGCTGCCACGTCCGGTCTGAGTTTTTGTTAGATGTTTTTTGCTCTGTGTCGATTTGATGAGCCCTTTTCAAATGATTTTATAGATTGTTCATATTTGTACTGTTACACCAATGTCATAGGTTAGGGTGAGGGTTTGGCGCCACATTTTATATGTGCCTGTCCCAAGTCAGGAGCTTGTAGTTCGATGGTTGCCATTGGTTCATTTGTTTTTCGTAAATTGTTTTGTTATAAATAAGGCCGTTAGTTTTCTCAATTGAATTGCTTCATATTTGTCATGTCGGGGCCTTTTATAGCCAACTATACAGTATGGGTTTTTCTCATCGTTGAAGGCCGTACGGTTGCCTATAATTGCTTACATCCACTTCATTTGAAATTGTGTGGATAGTTGTCTTATTAGCAATCAAACCAAATCTCCTTATTTTTATATGATTTATATATTTGTTTTTATTAGCTTTGAACTAGATTTCAGTAACTAGTAATCATAGATCTGTGCTTGCGTCTTTGTCTTTATGTTAGTTGTTTTAATGCTTCGTGCCGATCAGATGAGTCAAGCAATGTCCAACTGATTTTTACAGTTCGTTCTTATGTTGTGCTGCTATACCATTGTCCCATTTTAGGGGAAAGGGTTGAGCGCTCGCAAACATGTTAAACCCCGCCAAGTTCTTCTTGTGCCTGTCCAGAGTTAGAAGCCTGCAAATCAGTGGTTGTCGTTGGCTGCTGTCTGTTATATTTGTTTTTCGTTTATTGTTTTGTCATTATTCAGGCCGTTGGTATTTTTATTTAAGTTGTTTCACAATTTGTCATGTAATGGCCTTTTACAGCTCACTACTAGTATATTGTATGGGTTTTGCTCATTGTTGAAGACCGTATGATGACCTATAATTGAGTAAATCCACATTGTTTGGACTCTGTTGGATAGGTGTTTCATTGGCAATCACATCACATCACATCTCCTTATTCTACATAACGTAATCTTACTCCCTTTCATTGAGGTCACGAAGGCAAATCATGTATTTCGTTTCGATTGGTCATATTTTGTAAAACCTTAAAGAAAATTGTCCTATGTGTACTTAAGTGCAGATATGAAAAAGTCCATGGCATCATAAAGTTAACACTCGAAACCATTCAGATGAAGAAATAAAGTAGGCAGTGCAAAGTGCACCATTTGATTAAGATTCTGTGAAAGTTCAATAAAATTGCAGATGTGGATACAAAAGTGGGACAGTATGACGAACGGACGAACAGACGGACGGACTTTCCAGTCACTATATATCGCCCGCATTAAAAATTAAATCAGTGTATAAAAAGTATGCGTTTTTAATTTTATATGCTTTCATTGGGTAAGGTATAGACAGCACTAATTTTCCATTAGGATATCAGGTTTGACAATTGTGTATACGTATGTATATATGTGTGTGTGTGTGAGTGTGCGTGTGTGTGTGTGTGTGCTGTCATCTATCCATCACAATTTTTTTCAGTTTAAAAACTGTTGACATAGATGAGTCAACTGCCGTTAGATGATCATAAATAATATAATATATCACTAATGTAGTAATTTCAATGTTCCGCCCGAAAATTGACAGACAGAACAGTTTAGATATTGAATGACAATGAGTCCTGTCGTGGTCAGGGCTACAATAACTCAATTTCGTCGGTCGTCATTCCAATAAACAGAGCTACTCTCTCACTTTTAACTTTGCAAAATTCTTGAAACTTTAAGAAATCATCATCAAGGTAAACTGATGTTCAAAATTTAACACTATATTTTTGTAAATAAACCTTTGCAGCCATAGCGGTAACTATTCTCAATATTGTGACATTCTCAATCTGAATTTCTGTTCGAAAGTTGTATTATTATTTCGTTCTGCAATCTTGGTTTTTTTTTCGAATCTCTTTGACCAATTAGAACTAAAATGTGTGTATACAATTCTTGGTGTTTAAAATTGTTAAACTTTTTTCCGATTTTTGGAAGTGAAATATAATTGGAGAAGACAGAAGTGTGATTTGTATATCAAAGACCAGTATTGGCATTCTCTTTCGTCATTGCTATTTGAAACTGTTCAAGTAGGATTCAATCATTTATTAACAGTGAGCTTCTGTTAAATCAGTGTGAACTCAAGTCCGTTTAGATAATGCTCGTTTTGTTTTTATTGTATTCAAGCCTCATTATATTTTTGAATTTGCTATGTTGCAGATAAGTGAAGATTAGTTAAAAATACATAAAATTCAAACAAAAGCATTTGCTCTGCATTTTCAATATTATCAATTTATTTCAATTCGATATATCTAATTAACATACAAATAGTGCCGATCTAAAAGTACTCGCAGTTCAAAAACATTTAAAGAAAACACAAAATATTTTAACCTTGATTAAAATGAATATATCATGAGAACTAATATAAAAAGGAGAATTGATATGATTGCGAATGAAACAATTATCTAAAAGAGTCCAAATGACGTGGATTTAAGCATCTATCGGTCACCGCACGGCTTCAACGATGAGCAAAACATATACCTTATAGTCAAATATAAATGGCATCGACATGACAAAATGCTAAACAATTCAAACGAAAAAAAAACAACCTTCTGATCAGTGACAAAAAAAAAACAAAAACAAACGTGACAGTCAGCAACAAACGACAACCATTGAATTACCAGCTCCTGGCTTGAGAAAAGCACATATAGAATTTGGCGGGGTCAAACACGTTTATGATCGCTCAACCTGGGACTGTGGTGTAATAGTAGACTTGAGAACAAAATATACACATCAGTTCAAAATGGCTGAACTCAACAGATTGCCACGAAGCATAAACAACAAGCCAACATAAAGATAAAAGACACAAAGTTCTAAGTATCTAGGGATACTCGCAGTTCAAAAACATTTAAAGAACAACATATTTTCAACTTGGTGAAAATGCATTTTTGTATATTGTTTTGTACATAAACCCTGGTCAATGATGCTGACAAGAAGGGAAGGCTGGTTTCCTGATTTTTTTCTCGTTTGAATTGCTTTACATTTTGTCATGTTGGGACCTTTAATAACTTACCGTACGATACGGGATTTACTAATGTACAGTGACTGACATATACATGTAGTTGCTTGCGTCTACCTCATTTGTTCTCTGGTGGATATTTGTCTCATTGGAAATCATGTCACATCTTCCTATTTTTTGTATAATTTGTTAATCAAAGACTTACTTGTGTTTGAAATACGTTAATTTGTAATAGGTTTTAGTCTAGTGGTTTGGAAAAGCTGCAGTTAACAATTCTATTGAAGTGAAAATTGAGAAAACAAAATGTAGCACTCAAATATACATTTTAGATTCCGAAGACCAGAGAGAAATACAGTATTCAAGTGTCTCTTATAAAATCTTTAACTATTACGTAAATAATAAAAAAATATTCCACTATAACAAACATGTTAGAGTAAATTTGAGTAAAACGTTGTTTTATTTAGAATAAATTGATGCGCACAGAACTGTCAAAATTTTTCAGCACCTTCAGTCTTACCTGATCAGTTGTTTCACATAATTTATCCGTCTATATTGTGCTGTGACCGTGCATCATATTTATATAATAATAAAAATGCAAATATACCTTCAATACATCATTTATTTTCCTATCGGATGTCAAAAAAAGTATATTTTTTATTGGAAACATATTTATATGATATTATTGTATTATGATTCCGTGCATAATAAACAAGGTCATTGACAATTTTACCGCCTTATTTTGGTGGGCGGTAGGATAGGTATAGATATTTTTTTTAAATGTCAATAACATTGATGATTTTTTATCATCTTTTAACGACATCTGATTTGTAAATGGACTATAATTAGTTTATATTTTGGTGTTACAAGGAATGTATATAATTTCGTATACAAATTTATTACTAAATTAAAATGACATTAATTGGGAACCTATCTGATTATAAACAAAACTTCAAAGGAATTGTACAGCGTAAGATATCTATTATTCAATAATGTGGAATGATTGTCAATGAGACAACTGTCCAAACAACGTGGGTATCAACAACTATAGGTGACCGTATAACCTTCATAATGAGGTAAACACATACCGTATAGTCAGTTATAAAATGTCACAATATGAAACAATTCTAGAGATTAAAGAAACTACAGACACAGTCTCTTCTATCTCATTTCTAGACATATACATCGAATTTGACCCCAGCGGTCATTTCAGTACTAAGAGTGTATGATAAATAAAGGCAACAGTAGTATGCCGTTATCAATTTTCCTCACCTTAGCAGCAATATACCAACTTCACCCGCGTATGGTTTCTACCGTGATGATTTCTCAACTCATAATCAAGAGCTTGAAGCTGCTCCTTTTTCTCAAAATGTTAACGGAAAGAACCAGACATTAAAGACAGATATAAAGTAACAACTTTTTAAATGATACAGGATGATCTTGAGTTATAGATTCTATGTGATCTGTTTATTTATTTGACGGATTCCCATTTATTTTTATTTGTACTATTATGTTAATTTTGATCGTATGACTCTTGTCGTAGCTCGGTATTTGTACATCAAACTTTCGGGCTTTTGTTTTTAGGCGTTCTTGATGCGGATGGGACCAGGGTCCAGTTTCACAAAGCTATCTTAGGACTACGACATGTCTTAGGATGGTCTTACGACATATCTTAGTCCTAAATGGGTTTCACAAAGTGATCCTAACTTAGGACATCACTTAAAGTTGGTCATAAATTTAGGACTTCACGAGAGGTGTCTTATGATGGTCTTAGGATAGTCATAAGTTTATTTATATAAATTACACTTATCTTTTATATCAATTTTGCAAATTATCTAATTATTCTCTAATCATCTAATTTCCTTTTCCTGCTTATTACTAAATCTTTATAGGTTGACGGATTATCAAAATGATTTATCAACAATGAACATTCGATGAATTTATAGCAAGAATCCACGATTTTATCCTGCTTATTATAACCGATACAGTAACATACTGAATTCAACTCACTGGTACACAAAAAATATAATTTTAATCCTTTTCTCAATTTTGTAATTGAATTTTTATATGTATATTGGTATATTAATAATAGATTATTTATATAAATTACACTTATTTTTGCAAATTATCTAATTATGGAATGTTTTAAAATCAATACGTTTAGTAATTTATGGGAAACACATACTAAATTTCCATGATTTTTTCAATAAAACCATGTTAATATTTAAAAATTTAAAGAACTTGCGACAGGTTTAAGATATATTTGCTTAGATCATCCTAAGACAGTATCGAGGCGAGGTCTAAGATATGTCCTAAGATAGTCATAAGAGGATCATAAGACATGTCCTAAGATATATCTTATGACAGGTCTTAGGATAGCATCATGCAACCGGCCCCAGATGTGCAAATCAAAAGCATAAGGGTTTTATATTTGTTTTCATTTTGTATACCCTTGTATTTTAATTCTATTTAATTTTTACTTTATCTGAAAAGTGTATATGCCATAATATTTTACTGTCAGCTACAATTTTGGCGGCAGGATCTCAGTTATTGTCTCGTTAACCAGTTATGTCTGTTTGGGTTGTTCACACAATTTTGACGGAACTTTAAACAACTGTCATACAGGTGGGAGGTTAAGTTAGCTAAACAACCAGGTTTAATTAACCATTTTCTTCGGAGAATGCCTGTACCAAGTCAGTTAGTTTAGTTTAAACATATTTTATTTGCAAAAGTAGCAACAGGGATTTGACACAAGTTATAACAACATTAGTGACGTCCTCTCCCTATAAAAATATAAACACAAAATAAATTTGATAATGACGAAAAACATAGTAGGAATGTATGTAATATATACAAACTACAAACAAAAACAAAAAGAAAAACAAAAAATACAAAATAATATGGAATATTATAGAGGACTGAACTGTAGTGAAGAGTTGGAATGTAGGAATCCAGAACTTTAATTGAATGTTCTAAATTTTTGTGTAATTCTGATATATGATTGTACAGACTCAAAAATTTCTTTGTTTTGCTGAAATGAAAGGTCACCGTCACCAGCCAATAGAAACTCAATAGATATAGCATATCTTTTTAATTTTAAACAGTATTTCTCTTGCTTCGTTGTGAAAAAGGCACTCAAAAAAATAGTAAATACTATCCTCCACAGGATGGCTACAGCTGCATGCGGGATTGGGTTTAATATTAATACGGTGCAGATCTGCATTTAAAGAACTGCACATATTTCTCAAACGTGTATGAATGATATTAAGTTTTCTATCACCACAACTAAAATAGGAGGGTGGCTGTATCAATTTAGATTTCATCTTTCGTTTGAATATAATTATATTTCTGGAATAACGTATGTCGGGGTTTAGGCTTTTCCATCATAATCATAATTAGATATTTAACCAACAAGTGGGGGCATTAAATCGCAGAGGTAATCAGGGGCAGTCCCATTATGTAAAGAATAGAACATATTGAGCTTTCTTGACTTTCTTCTGTCTACTAGCAATTGCCAGCCCGTTTCGAAATATATAGCTTCCCGACTAGCAAACACGGGCAACCCAGTTACTAATCTTCCTGCTTCCAACTGAACATGTTCTAAATTGTCGGAATCTTGTTGAGTACAACCATTCCATAACTCGCATGCATATTCCATAATTGGTCGTATAAATGTTAAGTATATACGAGCAAGATAATTTCTATTCAATACATATTTCAATTTTTTAAGAATATTTAATCTTGTGCATGCTTGCACAATTTAAAATGTTTTCTATATGTGTATGGAATTTACCATTGGTATCAAAAGTAATTCCTAAGTGTTTATGACAGGAGACAAATTCAACTGCTTGATTTTGAAATTCTATTTCGATATCATCTGGGGAAGTATTACAGGAGAATATCATAGCCTTTGTTTTATTAGGATTAAAATTAATTAGCCAATCTTTAGACCATGCTGAGATTTGTTCTAAACCAAGTCAGTTATATGACAGTTGTTTTTCATTCGTTCTGTTGTTTGATATAGTCGAGCATTTGGTTTTGTCAGGTTTATGGATGTCGACCATTAAAAAAAAATTACCTGGGAGTTTGATATTTTTGTTAATACTTTTTTCCAAGTTTACATTGCTTTATATTTGTGGAAGAAAGCAAATTCAATTGATTTGTAAGCCAACGGATAGATATTAAACATATTTCAAGATGCATTGCACACAAATCTTGTATTGTCTTGCAGGGCCATTTGAAAATATTGCAGTTACTTCTTTTATTGCTGTTTAACAACCTTTTCCTTGGAATAAAGACACAGACAACTTTGTTTTAAAATTTAGACTATATAAAAATAAGGAGATGAGGTATGATTGCCAATGAGACAACTATCCACCAAAGTTCAAATAAAGTGCATGTAAGCAATTATAGGCAACCGTACGGCCTTCAACGATGAGAAAAACCCATACCGTATAGTCAGATATAAAAGGCTCCGACATGAAAAATATGAAACAATTCAATAGAGAATACTATCGGCCTAATTTATAACAAAACAATTGACAAATAACAAATATGACAGACATGAACCAACGACAATCACTGAACTACAAGCTCCCGACTTGGAAAAGGCATATACAGAATGTGGCGGGGTTAAACATGTTTGTGAGCTCAACCCTCCCCTAACTTGGGACAGTGGTGTTAAAGTACAACATAAGAACAAACTATAAAAATCAGTTGAAAAAGGCTCAACTCATCAGATCGATATAAAGCAGAAAAACATAAAACATAAACACAGACTGGACGTAGCAGGGTATTTATCCATCCCTCATACCGAACTAAAAAAGGACACTTAATATAGATCTGAGAATACTCGCAGTTACTGACAGCTAGTTCAAAGCCAATAACAACTAATAAAAAAAAATCATGTATCTAAGACTAATATGCTACAAATTATACAAATTCATGGACGGGAACCGGTCTTCATCCTATTTTATTCTTTAGTAAAACCTATTGTATACTACTCAAATAAAACAATGCATTCCGTTACTAATAAAGGAATATATGAGTTGATAAGCAATCATTTTTCCATTCTTGTTTTGTTTATGAGCCCAATGTGTGATTATAATGTTGATTTTATTATCCTATGTTCATATTTGAATAAATTGGGGAATCGTATGTTGCTATAGAATGTTATCTTCTGGAATTGAGCTAAAAATTGTAAAAAGCGACTTATTGCAGCGGCTCATTCACAAAATAAAAATTCACTCGGAGGATAATCATAATTACCTTATTGATAATCTGGTATTACTTTCGTTTTTTGTAAGTGTTTATTTTAGCCTACCTTTAGTTTCCATGCCAATTTCCATCTTACCTTGTCTTATGTTTCCTCTAATTTTGGGATGTTTAAGTTGGTTCGGTATTCTTAAGGTTGTAATTTTGAATTATTTATTGTTATTGACATTAATGAAATATGATTACTTACCAAGTTTATGAACGAAGTTATGTCTTTCTCCTTCATGTACTTTCTGACATATACATATATATATATATATATATCGAACAGTGTTTTGCCATATGAATTTATTATGCGGTTACCAAAATACTTGTTTTCGAAGAAATGCGTTAGATGAATAATGTATGACGAAGGATAAATTAATTTTTTTTTTAAACCATATGAATTATATGAATGGTGATCCCGGCATTGTCATTTGACGTAATTATGTAACTGATTAATATTTTTTGTATATACATTAACCACACCGTCTGTATGTAATATGTGTATCTCGGTGTGTGTCATGCTATAACATCACTGTCATAGATAAAACTTAAATGAGATATGGATGGCTCAACGACTAGCAAATAAAAAACGAAAACATTATAGTCAATTAAGATTGGAGTCGAACGCACCTGCGGGATTCGATCTCACAACTTCAGTGTTGACAGGCTAGTGAAACATTTGAACTATTTTTTTTTTATTTTCTCTTGATAAAATTTTATTCAAATATATACAATAAAAAATTACCAGACAGTACCTAGTGTCACAAACAAACAGTTACATGTAGCCAATTAAAACAATTTCAGACTACTTAGACCACTCGGCAACCGAGTCCCCGTCCTAAACTGATTATTTCTATAAGATATGATGGACTTATATGAATTTGTTCACTTATGGTAATTGAAAAGTCCAAAATATCTATAACGAATAAAGACTCTTGGAATAATCTTATCATAATGGTCTCTGTGAAAAATTGATCGGGATAACGTTTCGAATTCATATCATACTCCGAAAGCATGGAGATAAAAGGATTAAAAAAATTATGTCAAGGAGCGACGACTTGCCTGTAATGTGACAAGAAAAGATAACACAAATTCTCTTGAAATGGAATTTAAGATATTGTGCGGTATGATGGTAAGTAAATTAAAAATATGGATGTATTCTTACCATTTTAATCAATTAAATCAGATATGAACGATTAAAAAAATTCAGGTACATGCTTAATGAGTCTGTTGGTTTAGTTTTCTAATTTGAAATCAGACCACATCTCTATAATTTAATAATACTATTTTGCACAGTAAAACATATGAACAATAGATGAAATGATAAATCGATTTGTTAATTTGACACATCAACTGTCTATATAGATTTAAAATGACAAGATGAACAAACGTCAAAGCTGATTTATTTCAATACTTGGAAATTTAATTTCAACTTTACTTCTTACAAGAAAACCTTTATGATACTATGCAAATAATTAATATAGCTGTGACTAATAATACCATTAACGATTTAAACATTGCATGTACTATTAATAAAATGATGAATTATTGGATTGTCATGTAAAAATATAAGACCACCAATTTCAGAGCAAACGACACATGTCTCTGGGAAAACATTCATCACAGACGCTCGATACCAGTTCATTTAGAAAAACAACAACATAAAACACTTTAAGCGTCAAATCCTCAAACTGACCTAGATGACAATTATTAGATAAAATAAATTAAGACTAGATTTAAACAGAGACATATATATGTGTATATTTATGTTTCTGATTTAAACAACCCGCAAATTTTTATTGCACCTTTACACAAGAGATCAATCAACATGATACATTTATATAAATAAATTACAATTAATATATGTAAGAAAGCTTCATGTTAAAATGAAGTAAAATCCTTCAAATTCATGTTCAAACAACAGTTATTACATTATCTATATCTTATAATGTTGTGTATTCATAAAAATAATTGACAGAAACATCATAATAAGGATTTCATTTTGACTAGGGCAATGTTTACAAAATGAGGGCGTTTTTTTTTTTTTTTTTTTTTTATATTACTAATCAATATTGGTTCGCACATTAATACAGCACTATTGGTCACAATCAACATTCTCTTTCCAATCACAATTCCCTGCTTCAGTATTCCACCACAATGCCGGAGGACAGTTACGTATATATTTTGTAATGATCCCTACACATGAGATATATTTCGAACAATCTTGTGGATGTGGATAATTCCCAAGAGCCTTTCCAACACAGAAATCTAAAATAAAAATAATCAACTACAATTGCTATATGTCATTATCAATTTTATTCATAAGTAAATGATCTTTGCTTTATTGAAACTAATGTGACTGACTATATTAGAATGAACTGATTAAAATTTTGTTTCTGTAATTTTTTTTGTGCTCTTTAATTAGAGTCTCTTTTGTTTACGTTAAATGCATCTTTTTTATGAATAGACATAAAAATATCAATGAAAACTAAAATAAAGTTTTCATATACTAGTAGTATATTTATTGCGGTCCGGAATTTTTCTCACTCTTGAAGGTCATACGGTTACCTATGTTTTTTTTTATATCTACGTCATTTGGTCTCTGGTGAGCAATTGCCTCATTGATTATCAGACCATATCTTCTTATTTTTTATATTGAAGAAAAACATAATCTACCCAAACATTATTTGATATCTTTTTTGTATTTTTTTTTATTTTGAACAAAGATGTATTAAAATTGTATATATCATTCAAATGTTGACAATCATAAGACTTGGTTTTGCATACCTAAAGCTACTGTTTTAGGTGATGTCGTTGTAACTAATGGTTGTGAAGTTGCAGAAGTATGTATTGTCGTCTGCGTTGGAACTATTGATGAAGATTTTGAAGTACTAGTTGATTTCGCCGTTGTTATAGTACTGGTACTGGATGTTGTGACAGGTGTATTCACACTTGTAACTGGTAATGATATAGATTGTGTAGCAGAATTTAAAGCTGCTGTTGTTATTGAAGACATGATGATACTTGTTGCAGGTTTGGTTGATGTTGTTCTCGTTGAAGACTTAAGGGTACTTGTGGATGAAGGCTCCTGTGTTTTTGACATCGTACTTTTTGCAGACGTTACCGTCTGTCTACTACAATCAACATTTCTTGGCCAATCACATATATTGGTGTTAGTATTCCAATAAAGTCCTTCTTGGCATGATCCTTGTACTGCCCCTCCGGGATAACAGCGATAATACTTGCTACAGTCAGCAGGAACTGGATAAAACCCGAGAGATTTTGACGCACAGAATGCTGTAAGAGATTATATATCACAAATTGAATGAAAGCATCGATCTTTTTTATACCAAAATAAGTCGTCAGTTTACAGAAACTGAACTGGAATTAAACGTAGCCTTATTTGTTCGAATTTAAAACGTATGAAATCATATGAGGATTCTCGAGTATAAAATTGACTATGGATTATAAATCTAATATGATGTACGTAACATTTGTTCATATCAGAGATACGTTATGATGTACGTTACATTTGTTCATACTAGAGATACGTTATGATGAACGTTACATTTGTTCATACTAGAGATACGTTACGTTACATTTGTTCAAACAAGAGATACGTTACATTTGTTCATACTAGTTAAGCCCTTTTTGAGGCCCCTCATGGGGGTGTCCAAGTAATCCCATAACCACAAATGTTTTGCCAATATAATCACATAATCATTAATTATTTTTTTAAACAAGATAATCAAATAATCAAAAATACAGTCCTAGATTATCAAATAATCAAATAATCATAAAATATTTGGCCTGGTAATCAAATAATCACTATAAAACCTGCCAAGTAATCACATAATCAAAAACCTCATGAGTAGGCTCTTTTTTGTGTTTTACCTTCTGTATGTTTTGTTTAGAAGCACTGGTGTAATAATACCAAAAACGTATCATCTTATTTACCTGGAGACAGATCGATTGTTGGAGTTGTTGAAGTACCAGGCATCATAGATGAAGACATTGAATTTTGACTTGAAGATGGAGATTTTGAGGTTGATAAAATGGATGAAGATGGAGCGAATGAACTAGTCGAAGGCGATTTTTGAATACTAGACGTCGATGCAAATGACGACGAAGTTGTTGAATCAGATGAAATCGTCAATGTAAAAGAGCTTGAGGTACCTATTGGTGAAACTGACGATGAACTTGGAGGAAATGTTGCCTTGGTTGATGTATCTGTTTGTATGATACATACTACGTTGCTGGGATAATCACAGTATTTTCTGTTTGAGTTATAAAGTAAGTTTGTTGGACAGTTCATGTGGAAAGCTACTCCTCCTTTACAATCATAAAACTTCGAACAATCAGCTGGATCAGCATATATTCCACTGATTTTGTCTGTGCATGGGAAGCCTGTAATATGATTTAAAATTACGATTAGTTCATTTTTACCCAAAAAGTTGTAGCTGAAATGATTTGAAAAAGTAAAGGAAGAAGTCTGGAATTTGGAATTTAAAATTGATACTTTAAATCAGAAGAGCATTAGTTGAGGAACAAAATAAGCTAAAAATATTGATAGGTTATGGAACTCCTTTTTGAGATATTTGATTTAAAAAAAATGGCGGGAAAAGCCTGACCCAGACTTTTACCTTATATTTAGCATAGGCATTATTTGGGTCTCAAATCGTAAGAAAAGAAATCTAGAACCTGTTTTAATTGGTAATGACCTTTTATGAGCTATTGGAGTCTTCTATGAAAAGAAAAGTGTGTGATATGGGGCAAAATATTTTACCCTGTATAGTAGGAAAAAACCCAAGGAGTCCGAAAAAAATTCCTAAACCAGAAATGACTACATCCTTAAGAGGCTCAGGTGAATTACAAATTCAATCTGTTTCAATCTGTAAAAAAGTTGTTTGCCTGACAATTTACATGTTGTACCTTTAAATCTTAAACCTGATAACATTCATCATACCGGAAAATGTTTATTGGTATTTTGTTGTACTGTCGTCGAGGTTGCCTTTGTAATATTTTTATGTTTACTAGCAATGTACAGTTTACTATCAATATCCGTATACTGAAACATCCTAGGAAAATTACAATTATTAAAACGAAAATATCTATTCGGTAAACGAGTACCTGTGATTATAGAAAGCTCTTACGGGTTTTCATTTTTAAGATGACAATATAAAAAAGCTACGAATATTAGTTCTGTATTTTCTATAGTTCAATTAAATTTTTTTCTAAAGAATTTTTACCAAAATCTGCACCTGATTAATTTTTACGGATTTAATGTTGCTCGCACTATTTCAAAAGTAATAGGATAAAAGAATTGAAGAAATGTCATTTTTTATTATGTAGGATTCTTAAATCTAATAATTGTGTATGTTCCTATAGAAGTTTTGGCAAATATGCACTGGATATTGATTAGCTTTTCAGAATAATGATGTAGATTCATTCATTTTGACCTTATTATTTCGCCCTCTGTGCAACTCTTAATTGTTATCAGCTTGGTTTATTTCACTATACGATGTACCTGAACTAGTTCCTCCCTGTGTCGTCGAACCAGATCCTCCCTGCGTCGTTGAACTAGACCCTCCTTGTCTGGTTGGACCTGATGTTTTCGGCACTGCAGAAGGCATTCCAGTTGGGAGTGCAGGAGTTGTAAGTGTGCCACCATTCTCGGCAATAATCAGTCCATCCTTAATTGTATTTAAAAGAGGGTATTTGCGATTACCTTTAGAACATGTCTGCCTGAAATCATCAAAAGATAGAGCCCACACCATGGCACCACCATATCCCTCGGACACCAACCATTCAATCTGTAAAAATAATAGAAATGTTGAAACTGAAGTCTGCTGATTCACAAAACGCAAAAAATATGCTGATGTATGAATCTAGAATACTTACCCTTGTTGCACAGAAGTGCGCTACATCTTTATTATTCCTGTCGATTATCCATAATTATGAATATACCAAACGCTACAACCTAGATGTATTCACCACAACAGACCATATCAGCATTGGTCGTCATATTGTACTCAGTATGTCAACTCCATCCGTAGATTCGTTATGTAAGATTCAAAACTACATGTACTTTTTATTATCAACTGAAAGGATTGATTATCACATTGGATGACTTTTTTGTATAGTGTTCAATGTATGTCCTCCCGTATAACATTAGAATCTACATTTCAGCCAACCCTCTATAAATGTATTCCCAAGGTGTCAAGACTCGGGATTATAAAGAGCTTGGCAGGTGTATAGTATATTTCTTATTAGAGGCTACTAACAAAACACATAGTGGTATATAGTTAATTTTGTTGTCGTAGTTAATTTAAGTGATAGACAATACAATGGTTTCTTAGTATACTAGAATATCAGCAATTTTCTTTTTTTTGCAACGGCATTCACTGAAAAGATGTCAGCAAAACACAGACGATTTTTGGTACATTAGGTGTTCAGAAAATTTAAGTTTTTTTGTGTATAATGAAATACTTCTATAACCGATTTCTCCTTCACAAAAGAGTGGAGATATTCAAGCCAAACTTATATCACTTCCTCTCTGTGTTTTGAAGTTGTGAATCATGCATGCATTTGAATTTTTGAAGATATCTAAAATAAGATTTGTTCAGGATTCAAATTCAATGTTAAGAAGGACTTTTGTAATAGCTGAAAAAACTCGGAAAATGACAATATTTGAGTGACACTCGCTTTTTTTATTATTCAATATGAATGCTTACTTTAATTTGAAGACTAAGTTCGTCATCGAAGCCAACCCACAATGAACCGTCAGTATAATATGGAACCATCTGTTCACTGTCGTACACTGTACGGCCTTTTCCACTGTCTTGAAGAGCACATATCTGTTACAATAATAATTTCCATGAATAATAGTAACTTTGTAAAAATAAACTGTTGACACAGAGATTTGTCTCGACTGTCGGCATAAAATTCCGAAAAAGACAATCTGATGGACAGCAACATTGCTTATTAGTTCAAAGTCGCTGGACCAACTAGTGGGAAGGGCCTCGAAATGGTTGACAAACTGAGATGTACAAACAGCAATGTAACTTTATAGAAAATATTATCTATTGTAAGTAGTTCCTATCAAACTAACTTAATTATAAAACTTAACATTGAAAATTGTTAATTGATTGATAGTCACTTGACCATGACCTAAAGGGGCAGGGCCATCAAAATAATTGTCAAACTAATATGTACTGATAGCAATGCAACTTCACACAAAATATCATTGATCTATCACAAGTACTTCCTATCAATCTAACTTGAGCAGAAAACTTAACATTTGAAATGGCTAATTAATTCAAAGTCACTGGACCATGGCCTAGGGGGCAGGGCCTCAAAATAGTCGTCAAACTGATATGTACTGATAGTAATGCATCTACAAAATATCATTGATCTATCACAAGTACTTCCTATCAAACTAACTTAAGCAGAAAACTTAACATTGAAAATGGCTAATTAAATCAAAGTCACTGAACCATGGCCTAGGGGGCAAGGCCTCAAAATTGTCATCAAACTGATATGTACTGATAGTAATGCATCTTCATACAAAATATCAATGATCTAAAACAAGTAGTTCCTATCAAACTTACTTAAGCTGAAAACGTAACAATTGTTGACGCCGTCATCGCCGTCGCCGGTAAAGCAATCCCTATGTCTCGCTATCCGGGACTTTCGTTGCAGGCGAGACAATTATGTTGATGATGAGAATTATTTCTAAGACTTTTAACTGTAGACGAAAGTATACTCTAAACACAAAACAAAACATAGAATAAAGACTGACAACTGTCGCAGGATAATTTCGGTGTAGATGTGTCATTGTAAATAATGGTAAAAAAACATGGTTGCGTTAAAAATGAGATTCGTTTCCTGACTTAATGATTTATTTTAAAGTTTCTTTAGTAGTTAGAGAATTAGAGAAATTATACTGCTTTCAGGAAAAACAAAAGAAAAAAAATCACGTAAAAAACATCACAATCAAATTGGAACAATGAAACCTGTTCAAACAAATTATACGAATGTTATTTGCAAGAAATAAAGATAATGAAAACAAAGTATAAAATATAATACCTCATAATAAGACATGAATCCAGATTCTCCAGTATATTGTCCTTTAATACCTGGTCCGCTAGCCGCCGCTCCGATACCTGTCTGACTACCAGCTAATGTGAATGTTCGCCCGTACGTAGCTAAACCAATAATTAATTTTTCTTTCGGTACTCCTGATGAATTCCAGTACTTAGCCGCGTAATCCTGAAACCAAAACAAAGCAAACTGAATTATTTGTTAAATCATTATAATCCTTTCTGTAACAGGTAAGCAGATTCTTACTTAACCACGGTTTTGCTTTGGAAGGTAAAGTATCATTAAAACAAGAATGCATTATTACAAAATAAAAATAACTTGCAAAATGTGTATTCCAACAAGTCTTTGATCTTCGACATTAATTCATACTATGGAAACACTGCGCTTTGGTACATAGAAGGGTACTACTGATCTTTTATTGCACAAGAAGTTGTGACCAATTACTATGTATTCTGTTACTCTTTTTTTATAAAATAACGTTACGGTATTACACCAACAATTAAACAAATCTCATTTAGAACAACATGTAACAGTAGCCATACTCTTACAAAACATAGTGCTTTTGATGATATTGTTTGCTAACAAATTAACTTACATGATGAAGCTTTTCTGGATGAGTAACATAATTTGAGAATATTGAGCCCAAATTTACTTATGCACGAATTGCATTACAAGTTTAGGGTAGATGTGCTACATAGTACGCTTTTAAAAGATTTTCACAAAACCAGATTGTTTTTTTTCAGTATCAGGTGACTTCCAGAACGTCATGTGTCACTTCAAGAAATTATAATACTTCATATATATACAGAAGTGGAAAATGTTGGAAAGTGATGTTCTTGCATTTACTTGTACTGTTTTCCTGTCATTTGATGGTGTCATTTTTAGTGTTATATTTAACATTGCTATAAAAGTGCGAGGTTTGGCAAGCCACAAAACCAGGTTCAACCCACCATTTTTTTCTTAAAATTTCCTGTACCAAGTCAGGAAAATGGCAGTTGTAATCCTATAGTTCGTTTCTGTGTGTGTTGCATTGTCGTTTGGTTTTTGTTCACTTCAGTGTTTCTGTTGTTTTGTTGTTTTCCTCTTATAGCTGATGTGTTTCCCTCGGTTTTAGTTTGTAACCCGGATTTGTTTTTGTCTCAATCGATTTATGACTTTCGAACAGCGGTATACTACTGTTGCCTTTATTTAGGATATACATGGTTTTCATGAATTTAAACTTCAGGTAAAATATTAAGAGAGCTGTGATAATTTATATATAAATATAGATTTGATTGTATATATTGACACCTTAACCAATCAAGTCTTTCCGGAGATAATTTAACTTACAATATTTAAGTATTTCTGATCACCGTACTCATTGGACTTAGGAAATAAAGGACTATTATGTCCCGTAGTAAATTGCCAGGATCCATGAAGGTCATACGACATAATGTTGATAAAATCCATGTACCTATAGGAATAAGTAAACATAGTAAGAATGCAACATGATGTAAGAACATACTGTAAAAAGTAAAATAACAAAAATACCGAACTCCAAGGAAAATTCAAAACGGAAAGTCCCTTGTCAAATGGCAAAATCAAAAGCTCATATACATCAAACGAATGTAACAGATTAATGTTGAATTGAAAAAATCTCAACACATTAGATATACCACAACCTAAAAAATATACGAACTAATGTTTTGAACATATCTTATGAATAAATTGTAATGAATACAAGGCAAATAATTTAGCAACATGCATCGTATCATTGTTGCACTCATATAAAGAGAAATTAAATGGAAACAGGTCCACACAATATTAAGACAACACTTTTTGGATCTCCGTATCTGTGGTCTAGTGTTTATACTTTATCTCTTTTTGGTATTTACGATACTAACAAATAATATATCAAAAATAGCTTACTGTGCCATTGTGGGGATATCATAGGCGGTATCGACGGTGTATTTTCCAGCAGCAACTGCAGCAGTCAAAAGAAGACAGACTAATCCAGAGGTCTGGGACTCTGCGTCGAAGGCTTCTTTAAGTTCCTGCCATGTAAGGATTTTAAAAATATATTGAAGAACCAATATGAATGAGAGAAGTAAGGAAGCATTAATGGGACTCAATATTGAAGAACCAATATGAATGAGAGAAGTCAGGAAGCATTAATGGGACTCAATATTGATGAACCAATATGAATGAGAGAAGTAAGGAAGTATTAATGGGACTCAATATTGAAGAACCAATATGAATGATAGAAGTAAGGAAGCGTTAATAGGACTCAGTATTGATGAACCAATATGAATGAGAGAAGTAAGGAAGCATTAATGAGACTCAATATTGAAGCACCAATATGAATGAGAGAAGTAAGGAAGCATTAATGAGACTCAATATAACAAAAGAAGTAAGTGCACAAATACACAAAGAAAGTGGCTGACAGTATTTCAAGAACTATATTCTGTATTTACTTTTCATTTTTATTTTGAAACTACATATATTCTTTAACATACATGAAAATAGTTATACCTTAACCAGTAATCCAAAGTTGACTTTGTCTTCAGGTTTACCTCCCCTGTTTGATGGATATTCCCAGTCTATATCTAATCCATCGAAATTATATTTCCTCAGGTACTGTATAGCTGAACTAATAAATTCTGCCCTTGAATCTTGGGTGCTGGCCATCTGAGAATATACTACACTGCCAGCGGTCCAACCACCTAGCGCTAGTAATGTTTTTAATGATGGATTTTGTCGTTTCAAATCATTTAGCTGAGAATATCTGTCATAAATATATAAAAAAATACATTTCAAAATAAAAATTCTTTCTTCCTCTTTCATTGTGAAATGTTTGGTACCCGATTTCGCGGCTACTTAGCGCTCTTTATTCATTTCTTGGAGGCCCACATTTGAATCTTATATTGAACAAAATAAAGTTATAAAAAAGGTAAAATAACAAAAACACCGAACTCCAAGGGAAATTCAAAACAGAAAGTCCTTTATTAAATGGCAAAATCAAAAATTCAAACACATCAAACGAATGGAAAACAAATCTCATATTCCTGACTTGGTACAGGCATTTCCTTATGAAGAAAATGGTGGATTAAACCTGGTTTTATAGCTATCTAAACCTCTCACTTGTATGACAGTCGCATAGAATTCCATTATATTGACAACAATGAGCGCGCAAAACAAACAGACATACCGGTAATAGGTAGAAATGTCAAAAATTGGGGTACAGCAGTCAACATTGTAATATAATCTTAATCACTATGAAAACCTATTTCAACAAAGAAAAACAAAATGGCATATAGACACTCTATAGACAAAGAACATAAGCAAAAATGAAAGACAAAAATACAAAATTGACCATAGAACAATAACACAATGGTGGGATGTATAAGTACCGAGCCACGCCAAAAGTATATTACCAAAAAAATGGACTAAACAGTAAAGGTTAAAAATAGTGTACATGACAAATAAAAAGAACACTATAACACGTAATTAAGATGACAAACAACGTCATTACCTAGAATCTATATTTCAAGACTATCTTGTATTATTTATAAAGTTGATACTGAATATTTATCAACAAGTCTTGGTATCTCCCAATGAACCTTTTTTTAGAAAAAGGACGAGAAGTTCTTTGACATAACCTTGGCTAATCAACTTTATGCTCAGACACTGGTGACGTTTTATAAAGTCTGAGTAGCAGCTGCCAGCTCATGAATACCGAATGAGTTGGGAAATGTATATCCCATATGCAGGGGAAGTTGGTATATTGCTGCTAATGTGGGGGGAATTTATAATTTCAAAATCAAAATCGTCTCGTTTGTCAGTAGATTATAAACTCATCATAGATACCAAGTTTGCCAGACTGTTTCAATTTCAAATTTATCTATGAACCCGACAAATAAATTACCTTAACTTCGATGACAATTTTTGTACTTTTACTTCTTTCTTCTATCTTTTATAGAAAAATTTAATCTCTGTTTGATATCAACTAACAAAGTAATATCTACTTTTCCCCTTAAACACAGATCAAGAAAACTTATCTTAAGTAATTAGAAAATGTTGACTAAATCTTACAGTTCATAGTCATTGTACTCTACTTTCTGTACCATGTTGCCTTCGAGTTTACAGAATGCATAGATAATATGTGTACACAAGTAAGGATCTATATCGCTGGGCAGGAACTTCCCATTACCAAGTCTGTACTGTGACCAATTAGTGTAGTAACATACTCTTTTGTATTCTGTGGATTCTAAAAAATGAAATAAATATATTGCTCAATTAGATAATAAATATCTTAAAGATAAAACAAGTTGTTTAAAAAAAAAGCAGTACGTGAACCCGAGACCGCTAATTAGTCAATAAACATTTGTTGCTGAATGTTTTGCTTTTGATTTGAAATAATTTACTAGAATAAGGAAATGCTGATGGTAAAACACCTTTATTGAAAATATGTAATTGTGTGTAGATTCTTGCTCAAGTTAATTAAAAACACTGTTGGATTTTAGTTGCAAATAGAAAAGTATATACAGCTAGCATTTGAATTTACCTTTTAAGACTTGACGATTTAATGTTTTACTTGAGAGTGTACATCATATTTTCTTCGTGTTTAATACACAAAGTCCTAATCCTATTGCAAATCGGATTGTCCAAAGCAAATTGAACAAACCAATCGCAATTTAAATTTCAGCATTCAGTTTGCTTTATAATTTGAATGCATTTGTTTTATCGTTCATATCTTCATATTTTCTCACCTGGATGCCTTCAATTTTTCTTATACTCATTATTAAAGTTCTCTGTACTCATGGAAAAGTTGGTATAGAGAAATTGAAAGTCAATAAGTCCAATTTTTATTTGAAGTGTAAGGTTTCGTATGCTTTTCTTGCGAGTAGCACACTATCTTAGGATCTCTTATATATATATATATATATATATACTGACAATTATTAATGGTCGCAGTAAACATCTCAAAGTTACTTAAATCAATCCAAATATTCTAATGGAAAAACTAAGTTTTGAAAAATATCTTGTTTTCAAAAGTTTAAGAAAGTCAATAAAATCGTCATAAATACCAGGATTCAAATTTTGTACGCAAAACGTGCGTTTCGTCTACAATAATCTCATCAGTGTCTCTCGAAACATAAAAGTTAGAAGAGCTACAAAAAGTACGAATTTGAAGAGCATTGATCTAAAAATTCCAAAAAGTCTTGCCAAATACCGACTGGATCAAGTAGAGAATACGTAATTGTAGTTCAATCGGATTATTAATTTTTCATAGTAGGTAAATTGGTTCTCATATATATAAGGGAGTTTTTTTATTTTCTGTTATTTGGTTTTCATTTTTATAAAACAATTGTATTCCTTTCAGTTTTAAGTGAATTGTATGCATTTAAAATATTGTAAAGATTAAATGGTCGACAGGTCAGCAGGTCGACAAGTCAGCAGGTCGATTCTTGGAGCCCAAATATTTATATGCTGGCCTGTCGACCTGCTGACTTGATGACCTGTCGACTTGCTGCCCTGAAGACCCGCTGACTAAATAAATGGCTGCGGATTTTAAAAAGTTTCTAAGTGAGGATATCTTATCGACCTGCTGACTTGCTGACCTGTTGACCTGCTTACCTGTCGACCTGCTGACCTGTCGACATGTAGACCTGCTGACTAAATAATTCAATTGATGGAGATCAATTATTTGTATGCTGACCTGTCGACCTGCTGACTTGTTGACCTGTCGACTTGCTACCCTGTAGACCCGCTGACTTAATAAATGGCTACGGCTTTTAAAAGTTTCTAAGTGAGGATATTTAACGACCTGCTGACTTGTCAACCTTTCGACCTGCTGACTTGCTGACCTGTCGACCTGCTGACCTGTCGACATGTAGACCTGTTGACTCGGGTTAGGGTTAGGTTTAGGGTTAGGGTTAGGGTTAGGGTTACTTGTCGACCTGTTAGTATATTGTCTAAACCTTCCCTAGGACTCATCGTATGAATATTATAAATACCAGCGAAAGAATTTAGCCGGAACTACTTTAACGTATACTATACTTGGGCCATACGACTAAGGTAATCTATTCATGGGGTAGAACATCCTTAGTATTTCGAAAATTTCAAAGTCTATATAATAGGACAGTCACTCACTAGAGAAATAACTAGAGGTCAGAATATCTTAATGATGACCTGGCATGCATCAAAGTCACTTGTCCAGCTCTTACTGCCGTGTCCTGAATTAAGATTAGAAATGCGGAAATTCATTTTCTGTGTGGTTTTCTTGGGCAAGAAATAGTAAATGGAAAGCATACGCACTGATATTCTGGATTACAGTATGCATTTGCGTCATAACGTATATCTATTCTAGGGTTAAATCTAATGTTAGCTGAATTCGGATATCAAACTACCTACCTCAATAGGCTTGACTCCGGATTCATTGCCATTTAATCTGGAATTTGTGTGAACGCAAACCTCTATTGTTGTCAAATGGGGTTTTTAAATTAAATCCGATTTTGTTGTGTCGTGCGAACAGGGTGTAATACCATATAAATGAACCAAGACGAGTCTAGGATAGCCGGTCAACACAATGCATACAATTTTAAAAATGTCATTATATTGCAAAGATTTAGATAGATTGATTGATTGTTGGTTGCTTAACGTCCAGTGGCAAATATTTCATGCATCTTTCAACATGAGGCATCAGAATTAACAGACGTATCGGCGTACTTGTACATCCCGCATAGCCAAACGGACGCTCCACTTTGGTAAGAGTTTTACTGCCGGTCGGAGGAAGACGAAGAGTAATCGTATATATACCCCCCAGTCATTGGGGGATGCAAAGAGTTAGATGCTTTTGGAGTGAACTATTAAAAACAAAACAAACACTAGATCTAGAGCCTGTGTCGCTCACCTGTATCTACTGTGGTTTTGGTAATCATGTAAAATAAGGTTAAAATCATAATAAATAGTATTAGATACCCTAATAATGATTGAGGCCAAGTTTGATTTAATTTGGCCCAGTAGTTAAATTAAAAGCAGGTCATCCCATTAATATTGTTATCATTATTTAAATTAGTTTTCAAGTTGTGACCATTTGAAATGTTTTTGTTACAATTTTCCCATAGACTTCTACAGTAAACCCCTATGTTCTATTTTTAGCCATGGCGGCCATGTTGGTTGGATGGCAGGGTCATCGGATACATTTTTTCAATCAAGAAACCCTTTTGAAAATTGTGGCTAAGTTTAATTCTATTTGGCCCAGTAGATTAAGTGGAGGAGATTTTTGTACAAGATTACAAAAATTTAAGAAAAATTGTTAAAAATTGACTTTAAAGGGCAATAACTCCTTAAGGGGTCAATTGACAATTTGGGTCATTTGTCTTATTTGTAGATCGTAATTTTTGGAATATTATTGCTGTTTATAGTTTATCTCTATCTATAATAATATCTAAGATAATAACCAAAAACTGCAAAATTTCCTTAAAATTACCAATTCAGGGGCAGCAACCCAACAACGGGTTGTCTGATTTGTCTAAAAATTTTAGGGCAGATAGATCTTAACCTGATGAACATTTTTATCCATTGTCAGATTTGCTCTAAATGCGTTAGTTTCAGAGATATAAGCCAAAAACTGCATTTTACCCCTATGTTCTATTTTTAGCCATGTCGGCCATCTTGGTTGGCAGGCGAGGTCGTCGGACACATTTTTAAACCAGATACCCCAATGATGATTGTGGCCAAGTTTGGTTTAATTTGGCCCAGTAGTTTCAGAGGAGAAGGTTTTTGTAAAAGTTAACGAGAACGACAGACGAGGATGTCGGACGCCAAGTGATGAGAAAAGCTCACTTGGCCCTTTAGGCCAGGTGAGCTTAAAAAAGAATTGAAATTTATAAACATACATCGTTAATAAATCTATTCCGAAAATTTATAATACACTACCAATAAACACAAACGTCAGAAAAGTATTTACCGATGGACATTTTTGATCAAATCAATCTCTTCTTGTAGTCTAACTTTCCGAATATATTGCTATACAAAATATAAGCAGCGACTTATAAAACCAAAACTAAAATGGTATGAAATAACTAACGTAGTAAATAAAAGATTGTTGTAAAATATCAATTACGTTTTTGTGAGATGCAAGGATTTAAATTCCTTGTGAAATTGAAACCATGCAAGTATATTTTTTTTCATTCACTAGTTGAAATTTTTTATACTAATTGATTTGTGTGCATCCCTGATAATTGGTGCTCTTATGTTGCATATAATATGTATTTTTAAAGTGCTCCAAAGTAAGGAGTATCATGTATGTTTCACTCAGAAACATGTCCATCCCCCAAACGTGTCCATATGTCAAAACGCCAATGAACACCAAAACGTCTCTTTTTTATGAAAGCCCAAACGTTCCATATGAATCCAAAACGTCCCCATTTTATCATGAACGCTTAGTCATGTCCACCGTTATTGAATAGTGATTTGTAAACTAATCACATGTTGTATAGATATAAGTCCAATCGATGTTATTACAGGAACATTCCTTTTGTTTTGTTGTAAAAATGGAACAGTTATTCTCTAAAAGCCCAGAAACCACTCTTGCAGGAAGCCGTCCGTGCAATACCCTGATACATTATTAAGATATTTAGCCATCACTGCAGTATATGAGTACAAAAGAATTTACTTTGTTAATAATGAATTTAACTGTACAAAACTAATAAGTTGCAATCTATGTTTGCTCTAAACATGCATGAAATATTTGCCAGTGGACATTAAGCAATTAACTGTTAAGAGTTAATGTATGTGTTGCAAATCAAATTTGCAGTTATGCTTAATATAAACAACCGACTTTGAACAAAATAATGCTAATAAATGACCACTTAACCAACAGTTGAAGCACTGAGAAAGTTGCTTTAACTATTGATTACTGGTGTCTATCTATTTGAAAGCAGAATTAAATCAGTGATTTCATCTTTCACTATGCATAGTGAACCACATTTTGGACTATATGGATCACTACACCTTTCCTCTACATGTCCTTGGATAGCGGCTTTTAATTTTTTTTTTAGAAATGACCGAAACCCGACGTCTTCAGTAGTGTTCCCTCCCCTCTATCATTGAATGTCGTAAACGTGATTGCATTAATACTCAGGACTTATTTGAGCTAAGAGTTTTCATAAAGTGGACAAGTTTTCGGCGAATAACAACTGTAGGACATGTTAAATTTGGGAGAGTAAAAATTCTGAACCTTTTTGGCGAAGTAAATAATTG